TTATGAATTTTTGTATTATATTCCCTAAACTAGGTTATATAGTGTGTACCTGACAGGATTTAATTTTACCCTCCGATACTCCTAAAGATATTATTCGCTCAGACCTCGGAAAGGGGCACTTTATCTTCTTTGTCACCACCTGTGGCATTGGATCAGTTGCTTGACTGATTTTCATTTAATCGGAGCACCATATTGGGATATCCTGAGCTAGAAGGGCGGGGGTCCTGGAGACTGTCAGAGCAGGGGATCTCTGGGGCGTTTATGGTAAGTTAGACCAGAAGCCTTTCTTCATGCAATCCTCCTGGTAGTATGACCGTAGATCTCAGCCCCTGATCGACAGGAGGCCAGAAGTCCCATCTTCATGCAGCCTAACCTGATTGAAGCTTGTTCCGGATGATTGGATGTGACTTTCACAGGATAATTGATAAACCTGATCAGAAGGGTAATTTTTGATTTTGGTCTTTAAGTGGTATTGAACTACGGACCTTGTGATTGTGACCTGGGAACATTATCACTGGACTATTGACCTACAGGTCTGTTTGCAAGATTTTATTTAATATTAAGAAAGATATTAATTTATATATATTTGGTTAAGAGTTTTCAAAATAGAAATTAAATCTCAAAAAATATATTATAAATTAGATTTTTTCTTTTTTTTTTTTTTAAAAAAAAAAATTATATAAAATATTTATTGATTTGTTTTTATACTTACTGTATCTTATATACAGTATATTGTTGATAGGTTTTAATGTTTACTGGAGTTTGATGATAAACTAATATATATTATTTTATATTTTACTAATTTCTTTGATTTTTAAAAATTTTTTGGAAAAATTAGAGATCAATGGAAAAGGTATTTTCATAATTATTATCATATTATAAGACTTTATTTAAAATAATTGAAAAATTTTTATTTGAAAACATTAAATCTTTTATACTATAAATATTATTGTAGATCTTTTTTTTCAAATCCTACCAAAAACAATATAATTTTTTGGAATAAAGTAAACGAATATGCCATATTTGTCATTATTCATTTCGCAATAATCAGTGAATGTGTGTCATTGTTGTGAGAAAATGATGATAAAAGTTCAATGGGGGGGGAGGGGTATATTGTTAAAAATCACCACATAAACTGTATTTTGAAATACAGATTGGAAATGTCTAGTCTAGGCGACAGAGATGGTGGTGATAACGGCTGCGAAACTCGTTACCGGTACTGGTGATTTACATTATCTTGGCAGTGGGCATTCTCCTTTTTTGAAATATACAAGGAGCTGCCTCGATTAAATTCGACACTAGTACAAGTTTGACGCTAGTATTACGAATTTTGAAAAACAAATTGCCTTTTTCTCAAATGTACTTGACGATAATATTTAAGTGATGGTGGAATCGGTTCACGTACATAAGTAAGGCTTACATAATGATGGAATTGCTTAATTTAATGCAAAGACGTAAGCACATATACATACCGAATAATTTCGGGTTCGCGTGATAGGCAACGAAAAATCGTGTCAATCTAAAACCGTGAGATTCTTGGTGCAACGAGGACCACGCAAGTCTATTATTGTTTCGATAGACGGACAGACACTTTGAGGAGGGCACGCTGAAAATCATCACTTTTTGTTTAAAGATATGAATATCTCTTTTATTTTATTTTTTTAATAAAAAATTTCCGTGTGACATTGAATTTTTTTTTTTTCAAGAAAAAAAAACCTTAAAATGCTTGTTGGCGTTTCCATAAAATTATGTTGTAAAGAAAATGAAAAAAAAAAAAAAATTTTTTTTGTTGAGGAGAAAAAAATTGAAAGAATTAAATGTACATAAAATGCAATTGTGTGAAAGAGAAAAAAAATTTACAAAGAATGAAAAAACTTGCGTATATAAAAGGATGTGTAGGTAGGATTCGCGTGTAACATCATTATTTATGGGTGACGAAAGGACCTTACATTCATTTGTGGTGATATGTTTGTGCGTTTCATTTTACTTTTTGTGTGTGTGGTGAAGGATGAGAAGGGGGGAGGTAACCGGTGTGTGTGGGTAAATGGAATGTATATTATTAGCGTGCGTGAAGAAGGATATTAGGTGAAAGGAAAGTGGAAAATTGATCAGACATAAATTCAATATACTGTACTGATTATATATATCGAGAAAAATAAACAAATGTGTAGAAATCTTGTTATTTGCATTGTATTGTTCTATTATTTGTACAGACCACATACTGAAAGAGAGTATAAAGAGAAAGAAAGATTACTGTAGATGGCTAATGTTCTTGACGTCCTCCTTATTCACTCATTCACTTTCCTCATCCAACTCCTCATCCTCGTCCTCGTCCTCGTCCTTCTCAACCTCATGTTGATAGAATGCCAAGCAGACAGCTTGCGCTGCCGGCCCAAGCCCGAGGAATTCAATATTCTGCCACACATCGTGATAATTCTCAACGGTCAACGTGTCATACCACTTGTCTGCATCGCCCGAATATAAAAACTCCAACAACGGTTCGAAGGTCTCCGGTGAAGGCAATCTGATGGTGATAACATCTCCGCTCGAGACGTTCTCAAACACCTCACGGAAGAAGAGCGACTGAAGGACCAGGTATTCCTCATGCACCCAAAATGGTTTGTCGATTCCCTCAACGTGCAGCTCGGCGAACGCGGTGGATTTATCGCCAAAGTAGCGAGTGCCGAGTTGATGCAATTTTTCCAAGATATAAGTGACGGGGATGCCGTCGATTTGTGCCATGTGGTGGCTGTTCAGGGACGCATACTTGCTTTGTTTTGCGGGCATGGCGGGCGGTTGTTGGGTGATGAGTATTGGGAGACGGTTGCGAGGTTGAACGCGTTGCTTGGTTGGCGAGGCCGAAAGCATATCGAAGGAAGAATTTTTTGACGGAATTTTGAAAAAATGTGGAGAGGAAAAAGGTGGTTATTGATAGAGAGGAAAGAAAAAAAAAAATAAAATAGAATAGTAATAGTTTTATTATAATGTTGATAAAAGATTATTGTTCGGATGATGGTTGAATTTGCGTTGTTGTTCAAATGATGAATGTTATGTTTTATGCTCTTGTTGTATCTATTCCTTCTTGAAATGGTATTCGATGGTAATTGAAAAATTTTTTTTTGTTGTAGAGTGTGCAAATTTTTTTGGGAGTGAGTTGTTGAAAGCGGTGGGAGACCCCTTTTTATGCGAAAAATTTTCCCGCCAAATCTTTCCTTTCGACAACAATTTAATATTGTAAGTTGTCATTTCTTTCTTACTGCAAACTAATTGTGATTGCGCATCACCTCTTGACATAATAACACTTACTATAATCGATCATCGTTTTCTCACTATGTTGTATATCAACATTTTATTTATCTTAATTTATATTGTTTGTCGACATTAAACAGGTGAAATAAATAGTAGCATCGCGTGCCCTAAAAAAAATTACATAGTGCTTGTGCAAGAAAAGGTAAGAAAAAAAAAGAAAGAAAGAAAGGACAAAAAAAAAAAAAAAAAAAAAAAAAAAATTTTTTTTTTTTTGATATTGTTCTGGTGATGCGTAATTGTGTGGCAAAGGATGGTGTAGTGTAAGATGTGTGTGAGTGATAAGTGGGACGAGTGGTAGGATTGATATGAAAAACCAGAATCCGTAAAAGCAGGTGCGTTATGTGCGTCACACAAAATCCGTTATAATTAAAGCTGATAACAATAAAAGAATCAATAATGGTTACAATTAAAAAGTTTAGAATCGAACACGTACAATAGTGCTACAATAAAGCGTTATGGAACTATCGGGGAGAGACAATCACAAAATTTGAATCGTAACAAACAATGTGCCCATTTCAGGATGAGATTGATGCGTAAGTAAGCGTTACCAGGCATCACCTGTATCATTTCAGATAGTCAAAGTGGTACGCGCGTACTACGTGCGTACACGCACACTACCAGCTGCCGAATGCGTATTCATTCTTTTGCAGTGTGTACCATATGTACGTACGCACGTAGAATTAGAAACACATACTGTGCTTTGGTATGATGTACGGATTGTCGAGTGTTTTGTAAGCAAATCAAGTTAGAATCAATGTTAATGGTGTGTTAATGAATGCGGTCTATAGCGTATGGTGATGATGTTGTTGATGTTGTTGATAATGATGTGTAAATAATTAAAATAATTAATAATACTGTGATGGCATGGTAACGGTGGTGGTAGTGAGTGGTGTCCGAGTATCGCAATCCTAAACGAATTGTGTGTCATTGTGTCATTGTTCATCCCCGACTCCTTTAATCTTCAGACCGGACACGCATCAAGTATCATGAAATATTGTACCATGGATAAGAATTACTCCGTTTCGGGCACTGATTTCAATTAACCTCTACCCCTTACGCGGTAAGAAGTTAAGAGATTTGCTTTGCACCGTGTGGTAAAAAGTTTAGGCCGGGTGTGCTCGTGCGTTCATTCGTTCGTACGTAAGTGCGTACGGTCGATTTAATTTAGCAATTGCAAATATTTCATTTTATTATTTTCGTTGTTGTCATTCTCTCTTTCTTTTTTTTTCTTTCTTTTTATTTTATTTTATTTTTTTTTTACTCTATTTTTACTTACCATCTTCAACTCGGATTATTAATTAAAAGGGTCGATCCCTGTGCTGTAATGTGATAAGACATTTAAGCATAAAAGAAAGATCATGGGTGAGACAGATAATATGAGAAAAGATCGGAATAAGGATGGATGGATGGAAATCAAAAGATCATTCTTACCAACCATCCTGTGTAACATTGCGGATAATGAGATCAATAGTGACCAACGCGGATGGATATTGTTCAAAATCTTGGATTTTCCGGGAAAGGAATAATGGCTTCGGCATTAAAATAAATCTCGTTGTGTTGCTTGACAAAAGGAGAATACTTGTGGGATGATTCATCATATCGATACCTGAAAAGCTGCGCGTGAGAACGAAAATGAGAGGATCGGGTAATGCGTGCGGTCACAAGTGCGCAGCGGATATTATATGAGAGATGCGGGTTGCGGGTTGAGTGAGGGATCGCTTCCACTCATCGTCGACGTCCATCGTTGTCTTTGTGTGAACACTCATTCATCCCACTCCCTCCACCTCCAATCGAGACCAAGATCTACGTGCGTATGTACTGTACGTCTCTACCTTGGTAATAATGGAAGGTCGAATTCAGTGTAACCGAAGACGAACGAATCTTCAAATGCCAAATGCAGTGCTTTCGAAAGTATTAAAATAATGCACAACTGCATCATTGAAACAAAATGGAGAACAATAAACCGGAAGCAATCTCGTGCATTAATTTATATCCACGAACAATAGTGACGGTCAATCGGTGCGCACGAGTATATCATTTCCTTAAATTAAAAAATTAAACTGTTTGTTGTGTTTACACATCTCCCGTAAATGGTGGATAAAATGGGAAACACTCGGGTGTTGAAATAGGAATTGTGATATTTGGGAGAAAGCAAAAAAAAATAAATGGGAATTGTCCGGTAAATAGAATGGTGTGAGCATAAACAGGTTGAGCCGACAATTTGTCGAGCGGCATGTACTGTGTGCTGCACGCAATAATTTAATTATAGAAGAATTGTTGTCGTCGAGGTGGGGTCATGCCTTTGAGCTCTTTTGCATTGTTCTTCGTCGCCACAAATGAAAGAGATCGATCGTGGCTTTTTGCACCAAGCGAATCTCAGTTGCGAATAATCAGCAAACCTGAATTCATTCTCAGTAAACATAATCCATCTCCATCACCCTATTCTATTGCCAAAATAGACGCCTCACTTGTGTCACACGATCGCATTGGGCTTACCGGGAAAGGAAATAACTCTATTGGAAATCAATCTTACCAATAATGCGCCACAAATGGTTTTGGACAATCTGACATTAAGAATATACGCGTCCAAGTGACTCGGACCCAAGGTGAAATGAGAATGCGTCGATTGTGCGTTTTAATGAAATATTGTGTGATGCCTGATTCATCCTTCTTCACCATATCTTCATTGTGTTTCATTTTTTAATCGCTCCGTGGGAGCGATGGTGTCTAAACGCGGAAAAGTAGGGTTGTTTTGTTCACTTATTATGTTACGCTCGACATTGAATGAGATGCGATTGTGGCATTAGTATTATCCTCGCACTTCTCTTCGTGCTCTCGTATTTTCCTCATGCTGGCATGATTTGTTGGCTCACTCTGTCGTTATTCGTTTGACCTAATCCACGCGTTGTGCCACGAGCACACCAATGGAGTGCACGGCCGGGGAAGAATGGGGAATGATCCCAAGGGGACGATTCGCGCGGAGCATGACACGCGATTTATTAATCATTGCGCAATGAACATTTCATACATGATGTTTATGCATGCATGCATGCAATGTAAGGTCTTAAAATTTTTCTATTTTTCTTTTATTTATTTATTTTTTTTTTTCGTTCGAATTGGCAAGTTGCGATGATGATAAGTAATAAATAAATAAATAAAATTTTTTCATTTTCTTTGTCTTTTTAGGCGGCTCACTTTTGTGGTCGTTTGTTGCCCGAATTTGGGCAAGTCGTGAAAAGGAAAGAGAACACCGGAAATAAAAATGCCGAATATTGTCAATTCGAGAATATAATCGGCCAAAAAAAATAAATAATCGCAAAAAATAAGAAACCTTAAATTTCATTCATTTCATTCGGAAGAAAAAACCTTAACAAAGAAGTCACAGGGGACCAATCGGAGGCCATCGTCACACCACGAAGAGGTCTTGTGCTCCCGGATGCGCGATCGCACAAACGGATGAGACGAAATCCGAAAACGGAGTGCAATCGATTTTAAGCGTTTAACTTGGGAAGGAAAATTGCGTTACAAGGAGGGACAAAGAAATGCGTACATGAGATGTTTACAAGTAATCCCCGAGCAATCGTTGATAATCGTGTGGTGTAATATTTGCATAAAGGGCTTTTTCTTTTGACCATGAACACAACGCAACTCGCATTTGGTCTGTCGTCGGTAAATAATTAGATGAATAAACGAATTTCACCCATCTGACCGGTGAGCATGATATGAAGAGTCAATTTAAATATTTCCTTTGCGAGAAGGTTTTTTTACGTCCTGCGCAATGAACTAATAAATGATTTTCGCAAGTATCACCAAAACGCTTCAACGCATAATAAAAAGTCATTCTTTTTTTTTTTTCACTATTATTAATTAATTACAACTTGACAAATCAATCGATCTCGTTTTATAAGCGATGAGTGGCAATAATTGTCCGATTGAGATCAATTCAATTCTAAAACTATTTTGGTATGTACAAACAAAAAAACCATGCACACTCCACGATTTCCCAAATCATCGAATTTGACCGTCAATTTTCTTCATGAAACGAAACGTCCGTTCAGCTGTTTTCTCGTCCTTCAGCTGCATCATGTAAACAATCCTCCTGGTTGTATCAATGCGATTCAGGGTGATGGCAATATTTGTTTTACCTATTCTCTCCACTCCATCATCCAACAGTATGGCGTCTATCAATTTCGCTTTTTGCTTGTTACTATTAATAATAATTCTCTTCCGTTGCGATGCCTCCACCGACAAGTTCATCGTGCCCCATCCGAGATTCGTCCATGCACCGTAACCTTTCTGCAAAAACACCTTAATCTTCTCCTCCATCATTTGCTCTGAATTAAAATCGGGTTCTTGGTCCTCTGTTTCACTTGATTGCAGTGAATCCAAACGCGTAAGTGGGTACCATCGCATTGTAGAAACCCGAGTGTCTTTGACCTCACTTTTTTGCAACGATGATGAACGGGATTTTAAGATCCCCTGCATCACAACGTTTTTGTTCGACAAACTCTTGACCCTATTCAGATTCTCAAAAAATCGTTCCGCGTCTTCAGGATTGAGACAAGTGACGCGGTAATATTCCATGCTCTGTCCGATGTCACATGATATGCTGACGTGTGTCGGAGAGTCTAGGTGTATGGTGGTGCCCGGGTGTATCCACGAGTTGAGAATCATCTGATCGGTCTGTTGCAACAGAATGGTCCAGCATCCCGCGTTCGCGGAGGTGATCTTGACCTCGGCGATAAAATCGTCTTCTACGGTCAGTGGTTCCCATCTGCCGTCACCCCAACGATCAACACTACGTGATGATATCCTGCAAATGATTTCCTCGAACTTTTCCACGCTTCTTGTTGAACGAATTGAACGCTCACGCGTTATGGGTGTCAATTCTCGCGTTGGAGAGTTGAATGTGGGATCGCTATTGCGCTCTTGAATGTGACTTCGATCCTTGATAATTTCACTTGGCGTATAATCTCCTGGATATTTTCCACCCGAGCCTCGAGGAGGTTCTGGAGTAGACGAACGTCGCATACCCTTCTTATCTCTGTTCCGATTAGAACCGACCGGAAGTCCAACTTTCGATGTCGTGTTGGATCTCGTGAGATTGCCGTATGGCAGTAATTCGGTTTTCGAGGGTATCTTCAGCATCATTTCCCCAGATTTTGGAACACCTGTTTCAAGGGGTATTTGTGTGGATATTATCTTGGAATCCGAGCGGTTATCATGTGGTACTACTGGTTTTGTGTTATCAGGAGATGACGCGAAGTCAGCACCAGTCGAGGTCTTGTGATCAGATTTCGTGGTGACATATTGATCTTCAGGTGACTCCGATTCTTGACCACCAGCTTCTCTATACGATGGTGACCTCGACAGTGTTCCCAAGCTTGAGCTTTTCTTCAGACCATGCAAAAGTCGAGTATTCCTCACGAAACTGCTGATTGTTCGCCTTGCTAAAAAAATATGATTGTGATGTGAGGTCGATTGGTAGCTGATATCTTCGTTCGAAGGAAAAAAAGGTAATAGAAAAAAGGTGACATACGATTATTTGCAAACTCTATAATTTTTGATAATTCATTCAACCAAGCAAGTTTGGTCTCCGCATCGGCCGGGAATAATACCAGCGTCTCTTTATTCAGGAGAGATATTTCTATCATTTCTAATGTTGAATCAGATTGTTATTAAATTTATTGGCAGCAGCACATATGATGTTTAAGAGTGAGATCGAATGACAGCGTTACCTCCTTCGTCACTAATATCGGCGACCGATAAATGCCTTCCGCTCAACGGCGGATACAATAGATAGAATTCGAGATCCGGGTTCTTTCGTTTTACCTCTGGTTCGATCGGTTGGCAGATCAACATAAGATCGGTCAGCAGGAATATGTGTGCGTTGATGTAGGCCCTGGTACTGCCTTGAGATTCTTGGATTTTCGGAATTTCCATAACAAAATCAGAGTGCAAAACTAGCCTTCTATCGAACGGTAAATTTTGTGGCAGCAAAGAAACCGACATATTCTTTTGGGCGAAGAAGGAGAAAGAGAGAACGTCGTGATTATGATGATTAAAAAAATAGGCCCGTAAAGTGTGTAGTCGTTGCATACCCTGACCTCCCTGGAAATCAAATCTATCACTCGAGAATAGTCAATACACTTTTCCAATTCCGACAAAGTCCAAACCTTTGTCAACTGTGGCTCGGAGGAATCTTGATTTGATCGATCTTCCTGTTTTAAACCATCCTCCCGAGGTTGTTCGGCTACTGAAGGAGATTCCTTGTTCACTACCGGAAAAGTGTTTTCATGATTTTCGAGTGAATCGAATTTCTTTTTATTTCGGAGGACGGGTGGAATAACTGTTGAGGTTTTTGGTGGCGAAGAATTTCGTGCAGGTATATCCGCCAGCACCCTGGCCTTTCCGTTTTGGGTCAACGCCCCCGATCGCTTCCCCAGTTCAATTAATGCGTCGATACGATTATTCGCGGTCAATAAGATCTCATGATCCGAACATCCAGGTTCGGTAAGATTAAGCATACGCTAAATGATTGCGACGTATATATTACGTATCAAAAATAATGGCAAAAGAAATTTTTTTTTTTGGCATCTTGTGATTACTTACTGAATATAATCTTTTATAATAACGAATCCTCTTCATCGGCATCTCGGTGAAGAAGCCCAACGACACCGGAAGATTAATCTCCGCAGAAATGTCCTGTTAATGGCGACGGTGTTTTTTTTTTTTCTTTTTTAAAAAAAGAGTTTTCAATTGACCCTTGAATCTCATGATCAGGATAAAGTAATTGATAATTACGCTTAGTGCTTGCTGCAATGCTACGTGTCCTTCGATCTCCGGCAGAATTCCAATAACCTGTTGAAACTCTAGGCAATAATCCGTGTATGATCCTTCCATTTCATCTATCTAATGAATCGTGATTAAAATAAGTTGAACCTTTTTCCTTTTCTTGAGAAGAAAGTTGAAGGAAATTCGAGAGGAGGAATTCATACCCAATTGATCAATGTATCACCGAGATCCTTTGCTGATTTCTTGTCGCCACCAAGCTTCGCTAGTTTCTAAGGAGCAATCACAATGATTAGAAACGAAGAAATTAATAAAGTATAGCCGATGAATACGTACCAAGTAAAAGTTTTGATTTATCTTGTAAATTTCCTCCATGCACTGAAACAACGCTTCCGATCCAGGCGGAGGTAAATTATCTGAACTCCAGGGTGATGTGACTCGCTATAAGTGTAATACGCGTTGTCAACGAAGATGGAAAAAAAAAAGGAGGTTAAATCAGAATTCTGGATGGATCGGTAAGAGAAGTATGAACGTAATTAAACAGGAAAAAGGAAACCTGTAGCAACATTTTCAAATTATCAAGGTATTTCCTCTCCGTTCCGATAAGATCACTCAGAGGATTCACCTTTGGCTTCCTTATGGAGTTTTTCCTCGGTTTATAGCGAAGGCTCATGACGATTATCAAATATGCCCGGCGAAAACTCTTTTTATTAATACGGTTTCACGAGATAAATGCCGAATTCCGAAATTTAGCTCGATCGTAACGGGTTAAGGAAATCTCACAATATCGATGCTTAACGGCAAAGTCATATAGGTACGTGTGATTCAAGCTGCCAGTGACCTTAATGTTTGTATTTCGTCTTAGATTAACCCTGAAGTGATGTTGAGATTTTAAATAACAGACAAGGATCCGATGCGGGTGAATAATCAACATTTTTTAACTTGGCACATGTACATATGTGTGCTGCGAGAAAACTCTATGATTGGACATTGTTGACACGCATGTGCGCAAAGGAAGTTTTTTCATCCCGTTTTATGTAATACCAACCTTCATAGTGTAAAATGACATAATGCACAAGGTAATTTGAGGCATTTAATAACGATGAACGATAGGTATTCCTTATTTGTTCAAGTGGACGTTGATGATTCTATAGGTAGTTGGGTTTTTCTTTGGTGAAATAACCCAGAAAAAGAAAGTGCTCTTTCCATTAATCAAATACCGGATTTTCCCTCTGTTTCAGACGCATACCTGTTTGTTTGGTATCTGAAACTAACTTTAGATGAAACTTTGGAGACGATTCATGGTCAATCTGTCTCTTAGAACTTGCTCGCTTTGCATTAAGGACGATGTGTCCATTTATTACCTGCCAAATTTAGCATAGGGTTCATTTTACACGACATGCGCATCATTATTCGCCATGCTTGCAAATCCGAATTGTGAAAGGCGGAACACGTAATCCTACATGAAAACTGTCCGATCACTTCCGGGATTCAAAATTTTTTGTTATTGTTCCTTTGCTCGAGGAGTCTCGGAATCTGACGTTTGCTGACCTTTGTGAGTTGTGAAAAAGATGTTGAAAACGACCACTCGACAACTGGAATCCGATCAAGCAGCATTTAAGAAAATAATGCCGGCCAGTCCCGGTCGAGATTATACTGTATTAACAGTATCCGGTTAAATTGGAGAAACGTAAATTTGTAATTTTGATATTACGAAGGTTTCAAATTCGAGATTATCGCAAAATGTCGATTCTTTCTGTCAATCTCAATTTCATTATTAAACCCTTTTTGTAAGCTCTATTTGATATGTATAACATTTACAGTAAGTTTAAAAAATTTTTTTTTTTTCTCGGGTTTGCATGTTATGCTGCAATATTAATTTGAATTTCGTTAGCTAACGCATTTTACATGCTTGCAAATGAGATTAAACGATTGACGTTCGCAGCGTATAGTAATTTTGATTGCTCATTTTACGCTGCAGGCACCATGTAAAGTTGTTGTCCAAACTAAATGGCTCGCATGTAATGAAGTTTTACTTAGTCTGATCTCATAAACACCCTCACAGGGCATCTAGGTCACATACTGTATGTTAAAACTTTTTCTACGATTAATTTGGTTATATGATGGCGCGAAATTAGCTTGGGCGATGCGATTTATCGAATCGCATATAAATTAATTAGCTGAATCATCTTTGGATTACGCGCGAAGTCAATCAAGGTTCCAAAGTTATCCTGCTAGTCACTTGGATCACGAATCAGCTCGGATTATACGATGTTCTGAGAAACTTTGTGTTGTGCAATATCGGGCTAATTTAAATTGCAAAGAACCAACCAAATGTTTGATTATCGACCGAATCAGTTAAATTGGATCGGCTCTTGAAGATCAAGGAGAATTAATTTCAATAAGTGCTAACAAAAGGTCAATAATTGGAAATCGGTCCAACGTCACAATAAGAGGATTGTTCGCGAAAAAATTTTCTTTTAGCACCAACCTTGACCAATTACGAAACAACAATTTTATTAACATTTTAAATCATTTACGTACAGTATATTACACGTATATTTTTATTAAAATTTTTATTAAAACATTGCATTGATAAATAAAAGTCTATTGATTATTGCTAGAAAAATATAATTTTGCAAATAGATTTTATAAATTCGGTTTTTTTTTCGAATTTCTGAAAAAAACCTCAAATAGACCACAGTATCTTGCCATCAAAAATTGTCTATTTTGAATTCTTAAAAACCCGGGAAACATGAAAACATTACTTTATTATTGCATATAGGAGGAGTTATGAAAAAGATGAAAAATCATTTTGATTTAAAAGATAAAACCTTGAATTATTGAAACTAAAAAAAAATTGATTTGACTATAAAATTAAATAAAAATCAAATGAAAAATAATTAAATAATATTTAAACTTTATAATAAATAAATTAATAAAAATGAACTTTCATATAAAAATCAACTTATCTTTGTATATTATTAGTTAACTATTAGGAACAATATTTCGCTCTCCTAATAATTTAATACTGATCTCAAAATATTAAAACCATTGTCAATGGTTTGTTACTTTAGATTATTCTGAAAAATAATAAATTATTAAAGTAATTGAAAAAGAAAAAAAATTTTTTAATTTTTTCAATAAGTTTTTAATCTATTTCAATGATCTTTTTTTGAAAAAAGTTTGTTTGATTGGAATATTTTCAAGATTTATCTATTTCTAAGTAAAAGGCTTCCAGAAAAATATTTGAAGAATTTATTTATTTATTAATATATGGATTAATATATTATTTCATTAATATCAGCAATATTACAAAAGAGTTTATCTAATTTGAATAACAAAAGTTTTTTTCAAAACTTTGCATAATTAATATAGAAATTTGTAATCTTGACTTTTGTTCGATAAAATTTTTTTTACTATTTAAAAAACTTATCAAGAAATAAAAGTATTATATTATATTATATTGTATCTATGTTATTAATTTTTCAGTATTATAATTGGTTTTCTTAAAAATTTGCTTAGTTAAAAAAAAAAATATATATATATATATACAGTATATATATTTTTAAATCTATGGTTAGACTAACATTGTATATTTATTAATCTTAAAGAAAACCTATATAATTACATTGAACAATTATATTATAGCTAAACTAAATTTTATGTTGACTCACCTGTTAATAACTTTCAATTTTCAAATAAGCTTTAGTTTCTAAG